GGAGTCAGCCAGGGCCCTTTTTAACGTAGTCCCCGCGAGTCCCCGCTCTATCCTTCGAAGCGCGCACCCCAAGAGGAGCGAACGGCCGCGTGGGTGGCGTATTCGAGCGCTGACCGCGAGTGCGAGGAGCCCTGCGGGGTCCCCTACCAAGCCCCCAGAAGACCAAGGAGCTGCTGACGTGGGGGTGGTAGCCAGGAGTCGTCTCGCCCTTGTCCGCCGAGGGCACACTAGGCGAGTCTTAGGGGTGCGATGTATTAGGCTCGTATAGAGCGAAGAGAGGCCGTCAGGGAGCGCAGGGGGTGGTGCGTGACTCGCCCCCTCCATCGAATATCCTGGGGTTGATTGGCCCCCGAGGTGTGCAGCTGCGTCGCGACGCCCCACTTTTTGTCCCCCCTCAAGGAAACGCATGGAGGCCGATCGGGGCTTTACGAGAGATCGATAGATTCAGGGGCACGGGCCGTGTATTGTGCGACAGCCGGTCTATTGTGCCCCCCCCCCTCCCCCGATCGATACTGGATACCGTGTCCGACCAGATCTCAATGCCGGAATACTCGACCCTCGTAGGTTGGAGGCTCGAATAAAGAAGTGCGTGTACGAGTCGAGGAAGTCCTTGTGGAAGGAAACGCCCGCGTCGTTTTTGTTACCCGACAATTCCTGGATATGCTTTATGCTCTCTACTATTATCCTTCCCGAGTTATACCTGTTACGTGCAATCCAATGCATCGCGGTTGAACGCAGCCACAACCGGAAAGTGAGCACTGGGAGAGAGTTCCCGATGTAAGACCGTTTCCGAGGATGTGAAAACAGTCTTGGGAGAAGTTTTTCATCCAGGTTCATTTACTTTGCAGTCAGAATCTTAAAGTTACAAATCTTAACGAATTTCTCTTATTAATTTATTTTAACTTTATTCGTTAACGAAGCGAATAAAACATCTTCATTATACCTATAGTCACAACTAAAATGAAAGTTATTTTTATTTTATATTTAAAGGTGTATGTAAAGTTTTAGAGAATAATAATTATCATGCAAATCTTGTGGTTTTGCCATACATTGGAAATACGCACGAGACACTTATGAATGAGCTTTTGACACTAGAAGATTATTTCAGCACGTGTTTAACGTTTGTCCAACCTTATGCTAATTGCAATTAAAAGTTGTACATGCAATAAAAATATGATTATCTCTTAAAACAAAAGCGTTCTTTATAAGCAATTTAAATTGCGCTTCTGCATTCATTAGCAGAGCCGAGAATGACTGCACCGCTTCTCTCTTTTTTCTTTTCAATCTTACATCCTCTTATCTCCTCCGTTATACTTATATTCAAGCTTTTGTGTTTCTTAGAAATAGCCATTATCTCTCATTTCCAGGATTGCTTTTAAAAAATTTCAAGCGTGCGTTTGAAAAATTCGCCACTATATACGGCAATGAGCAGCAATAATTGCGTTCAGCAATCTTTTAAATCTAACCAATTTTCTATGAAAAATGAGAACTGTTATTACTTTTCCTTTTTTATTTAAGTATATTGCTTAATTGTTTATGGCATTTCAGTGACACACTTTCCGCGATCTTCTCTCGCGATCAAACAAATGATGTAGATCAGTTCATGTCTATTTATCTAATATAACTCTTCATTCGTTTTATTCACATTATTGCCGGATGGAACTTTCTTTAAAAAGCAAAAGAACATCTTTTTACTCACACATTGTAGTTATTATTTTTCTTTCATCTCTTGGCTTTTACTGCGCCCGATTTTTTAAATTCCGCACAGTACATGTAATTATGTGTATTATCCTTTTTATTAGTATGTATGCGAGGATCCTCACTTGGCAACTGCTTCTCATTTAAAAATATAAATATAATGGCGCTTATAGTTTATTTTATAAATATTTGCATGTTGTTTAATCATTCAAATTTGAATAGGAAATATTATAAAATGCACACATTTTAAAATACTAATTAATAAAATCGATAAACACAAATTAAACGATATGTTTATTTAAAGGAATAACATAAGAAGTGTTAATTTGTTCAATTAAATGCAAATTTTTCAATAATTTCTTCGAAAGAAACAAACAATTATTTAATTATTTCCATGACAATATTATAAAAATGAGTGGAATCAAGTTATAAAATAGTAGTATATATAATCAAATGTAATATAATACAACAATTCGCATTTAAATTGTGGTTATTCTTTAATCAATAAAAATTATTTAACCATTGAAAATTGTTTACACACAAAAATATGTAAATGCCAAATTTATGAAATCGGCAAATAACATGTCAAAATCATTGTTTTTTGAGAATATTTATAGCATAGCAGGTACTTTTGTTGATTTATAATTTAACGGATTTTATCGTTCTTTATGTGGTTAGGAAATAAATTTCAAATTGTTTTATATAAAAAATATCTTATTTGGACATTGATGCGTTAATATAAATAAAAGAAAAGAAAATAGTAATCGTTAAATAATACGTTCATCGTCTAATATGTTATTACATAGGTACGTATAATAATACACACATGGATATATTTGTTTATATTATGCAAATAGATGTAAATGTATATCTGTTTTGAAAAATATTATTTCAAAATAACAGACTGTGTTGTTAATTATCAGTTTAAAAACAAATATAAAATATTTTTAATTTCTATATGTAAGTACGTAATTGTCGGCTGTTGGCATTTCTCAAATATTATTTTTTTGTACAAACAGTAAGTATTTAAGGAGAAAGGTACATTTTTAAATAAAAAAATTACGTTAAATAAATTTATCATTTTAAAAATATAACAATTAATTTATAACTAATTTTCATGATTCCTATATTTTTTTCTCGGTAAAGAATCGAGAGACAGTCTTTCGTGAGTTACAAGCAACCTATTACAAAAATGAAAATTTTATTTTACATTAAAATTATATTTTAATTTTAAAATATATAAATTTTGAAAGTATTAAATTTAATATTTTTAGTACATAGTAGCTGAATAATGTAGGCGTATTCGAGCTCTCGATATCTCGTTCCTCTTTGATTCTCCAACAAGATTCAATCGGATTGATGTGTGATTTTGTTCCATTCGTGAACTAATTTTATTCTTAAATCATTATATTACAGATAATAATTTTATCAGTTGGATCCAATATAATTTTTTTTCAAGTATTTATAAGCTGTTAGCGTGGAATTAGCATTTAGCCGCTCTTTATGAATTTTGGATCTTATATTATAATCCCTTATATTAAAAAAATTTCATTATTATTTTTTTTTTGATAGTAACATCGTAGTTTAATAATTTTTAAAATAATTATTAAATTTAACCTTTATTATCATATCTATTATATTTCACTTATTGTAAATATCTACATGTTATGTAGATTTTGATATTCATGAGTATGGCCAAGAGAAACATTTATATATTATATATTAACTGCAGAAGTTATTGTAAGAACAATTAAAATTTAATAACGTCGCAAATTTTCTATTGCGAGTAGCATTGTTTAAATCATCGATTTTTTTCAAATAAACTAACAATATTTATAGTTTTTTATTAAAGCTAGCTATACTTTAAAGGTAAGTTATCTTTTACTTTTTAAAATACAACAATTTCAAGAGATAATTATTTCTAAAATTATGAAATAGTATTTCAGTCGTACAAAGGCCTGTTTGATAATCATTGTAAATATAAATGAAAAGTACATGTGATAATATTTGTCAATAAATTAAATAAATTTTAAAATAGTTTTTAATACCTATTATATAAGAAAATTAACTTATTTATATTATATGAATTTTTGATAATGGATACTAAAATATCTTTAAAAGAAGTATTTTTCTACTTTATTTGAAGATAAGAAGTTTCATTCAATTTTTTAGTTAGCTAAAGTTACATTTAAAGACAAAGGTCGTTTTACTCATCGTGTTTTATTAGATAAATTTATCCGAGATATATTGCTTTTGACATTTCTAAGATATGAATTACTTTCTATAATCGATAGTAGTTGAAATTAAGGTCAAAATTTTATTGAATTAGTTTAACATATATATATATATATATATTTTACATTATCATCAAGTTTTATTCATATTTGTAATATTTTTTATTATACTTTTTAAAAATTCTTTTTTTCGTACAGTTTATACTAATAAAATTACAAAGTGATATTTGAATTATGTGTTTGGATAACAAAAATGGAAATTTGAATAGTCAAATATCCACTATTCGAAAACTTTACTTATTATAAGGCTTTAATATATGCGTACTAACAAAATGACTTATGCAAACATACAAATGGTTGTATTCGATAAAATTTTTATTTATTCTTTATATATATATTATTTATATTTTAACTGTACTTTGTATCAAAAGTTTATCGCTTTATCATGTCAATGTTAATTTGAATAATTTTTTTTACACATCGAATGCTTATAATATATATAGAATATATTTTCTAATTCTTGTCTAAAACATATTTGCAGTGAACGAATATACGATAACGACATGGAAAAAGACCGAATTAGGCTCTGATGCATGATAGGCTTAGAAAAGCGCTAATCTCGACGTCGTCTCTGGGATCCCAACTGGAAATGCGTAACGGTCCTCTATTTCCTCCCAAATTCGTTCAATCCTCCAGACATCTTTCTCCTCTGGATCATCGCTCCCGAAACTTCAGCGAAGCGTATTAAAGACAGCCTCGTTGCTCTTGACCTTGAAGTGGCGGGCGTTTTCGTTAAGCTTCCGCAACTTCTTTTACCCTTGGCCCACCCGCGATGACGCTGTCCGCGGCTTCGAGGGTAACCGCTCCCTCCTAGCCCTCTTGTTCCATCTATCCCGGACTTCCAACCGACCGCACGGCTCCTTATCATCCCCGGTGACGTGCGTCCACGCGTTTTCTAGGCTCCCCATCCGACGGCTGTTTTCCGTGCCGACATTATCGCGGCTTATCGGACGCGCGCCCCGAGACTTTTTACGTCGGTGACGTGTTCGGCGGCTCTTCCCCGCGAACAGCTGACGCGCGCGGATGAGGCGCCCATCGCAGTACCGAGGTTCGAAAGCTCCGAGCGCGCGCTCCCCGGTGAAGTCAGCGTGACACGACCGCGGCAGCATGTGGCTTAACGAAACGCTCCTCGCGCTCATCTACTCGGTGAATCTCCTAAGCAGTACTCAAGCTGCGAGAAACTCGCGACGTCCGCACCGGCATTCCGCGTTTGGCGCTTCTATGACTGCGACTGGTACCACGACCCTGCCGACGACAACGATAATACAGTCTTTGGATGAGAACAAGTTCGAATACGACGAAGGTAGGATTTTGAGGAGGTGGTTTGGTGTGCTTGAGGATCATTCCAATCTCGCTTGGTACTGTACTAATGGGCATTCGCTGCCGTAATGATATTATACTTAGCACTTCGAAAGTTGATTCGTTACTACTTTACACACGAATGATTAACGAAAATTGAATAGAGATTTTGATTTGAGGCTTCAAGCAGATAGGAACTATTGGTAGTACTTTTGTTAAATAGAATATGACTGTCTGATCCCTATCTGCCGTAATTTTACCTAACTTTGCTTTTTTACGACACTTTTAAATTAACTGAACAAACGGCTTTCGTATACTTTATAAATTGATATTGATATTCAGAACTTTATCTCTTTTCTGATTTGTTTTATATCGACTGAAGAGTATCATTTTACACGTAAGTCGAATATTTTACTTAGTCTGGACTTTTACTTAGTCTTTATAGTAAAATATAAAGTTACAACAGAAGATTAGAGTGGTATACAGATAGAAAGATAGATAGATAGATAGATAGAGAGAGAGAGAGAGAGAGGGACAGAGAGAGAGAGAGAGAGGGGAGAGCGGGAGAGAGAGAGATGGAGAGAGGGGGGGGGGGAGAATATAATTAAAATAAATATAATCGATACGAAATTATTAATATTATACAATGGGTATTACTTACTATTAACTCAACATTAATGTTTAATGTAATAAAAACACGTGTAACCATATTCGTTAACGGTTTTACATATCAATTTTTAATCATATACTATAATATATGTATTCACCTATCGTCTAAAAATTATATTATGCAGGAGCGATTAAAATAATCTGTATGTTTCTTCCAGTTTTGTATTATCTTTCTTAATACTTACTAAGAATATTATGTACTAACAAAAGAAAAGTTATAAAGTAGACGTGGTATTTGAATTTTAATACACCTATTCAACGTATAAAATATCATTAGGTAAAATGACAAATATTTTATTGTTCATCTATAATTTTTCATGGTGCTTCATTATTATTAGATACTCAATATTATTATATGCTTTAAAACTAATATTTGTAGATTATAAAATAGAAAAAATGCTATTTTTATACAATTACAACATTTTATTAAATCGTCATTCTTTAATTATGCTATAATTATTCTATAATTAATCATAAACATTAATTTCATTGTTAATATTAATATTAATATTGATTTTGGACATTATTCTTTTATTTAATACACTATTGAGTTCGTTTGATCTAATAAATTAACTAACTTAATTTATTGTCACTTTGAATTCGGTTATATTATATTATATATATAAACTGTATAGTTTCAATACAATAAAATTAATCATTTTCTGCAAGTTGCAATATATAATTAATATGGAATCCAAATGTGAGTGTTATATTTAATGTTATATTTTTCTTTATTATTTTTTTAATGTTATCTAATGTATACATTTTTTAAAGAAATACAATAAAAGTAGTCATAAATTTTAAAATGTATTTGATGTACTTACTGTAGTAAGAGATAGACTAACTTACTAGTAATATACTAGTAATAAATTGAATTCAGAAATAAAACAATATGTCATTGTTGTGCAATATTCATTCCATTCATTATAAAAATTTTAATACTTTATTTAGATTGTAGATGATAAAACACTGTGGATAAGTCGTGGTATTGCCGGAGAAATCGGTATAATACAGACCAGGTGAAAAAATATTGTTTTGAATGAAGATTTTAATACATATCAAGGTGTTTCTATAAATTGTAATACTCAATCAGAATTGGTAAATTTGTATTTATTGATAGTGTTAATGATCGGTATGAATAGTTATTAATATACGTTACGTTAAGGCTTAAATTATGTCCTTGTAGATTCGGGCATAAAAAAATGGATTGAAAATGCAACAATATTTAGAATTTTTATGCTGATGAAATCAGTATCGAATAAGGGAGCCTATACATAGAAAACATAAATTGGCAGAGTATTGGTGAAAAAGCGCGCGAAAACGTTGTCATACATAGTAGCTAATACATCACGTGCGGCTGCTGGTCAATACCATCATTAATCTGCCAGTTGACTTGAAGACACAACACGTCTGTATTTTCAAGGAACTGATAGTATAGACGATAAAACCATAAAAAGAAGAGTCTATATTATCTACTAGTGCTTCGATAACCCCGAGCCAAAGAGAAAAAGTGCCGAGAAAAAAAAGTCGAAACATGCACGAATGACGGTCAATGATGCGAGCGTATAAGTTTGTCAAGTTATCAATTGAATATCTGTACCTTTAAACTAGCATTTTTAGGTAAAAAATTGAGCGACGTATATCCTTCTCCTAAAACCCGAACTTTATAAACTTTTTACCGGAATATTCAATCGATTCGGTGACTTATTTTCTAATTTTAGTTAATAAAATAATATTAATTTTATTAATTTTAAGAGGATGAAATTTAGATTGGTAATTGCTGTAATTAAATTTTTTTATATATACTTACATTATGACTTAATATGGTTAAATAGTTGATATATTTTGTCATTAATAAATTTAAAAACTGCATATCATTTTCAAAAGTTTTTGAGTATATCAAAAAAGGTAAAAAAGAAAATTTATGAAACTTTGTTCAACACTTTTTAGGTATATAGTTTATGTATATATATATATATATATACATATATATGAATATACACACACGCGCGCGCGCGCACTCACATTATCCAAGATGTTTCGAATTTTATTTATTTCAAATCTATTTAACATTTTATGTATTTTCTTGATTTATGGACCTGATGCTTCTTATCAATAACTTAATAGTGGAATAAAATTTCAAAATTGAAAATCAAAAAATTTCTGAAAGCTATAACTTTTTCGTGCATATATTATTATATTCTAATTATATAACTTTTTCATATAATTGCATTTATCACGTTTTGTTTTCGAAAAAAATGCTAATTTCTTAATATAATAATCAATAAAATGACGAAAACTTATTAAAATACATTTAATTATTTAATTTTTACTGTATAATTAATATGAATTATTTAACAATAATTATTAAATTGTTAAGTTTTATTATTAAATAATAATTATTAAAAAAAATTAATTTTTATGAAATTAGACTTACATTCTTATATTTACAGCAAGATATTACTTGAAAAAAAAAGCTAATGGCTTGAACTATAAAATACACATGCAACATTTACGATTTCAGATGTTAAGACTATTTGACATATTCATGTAATTTAGATGATAAGCGGACGTTGCACTAGTTTTCTAAGATGTCGCACTAAATTTATTACAAATAATTGCATAACATGCGCGTATCTTCGTGTGAATATTACTTTTAGTCTTTTGTCTACTCTATTTCTTGTACTTTAATTTAATTGTGTTTATCAATGGATGGAAATATATCGAAATAAAATAGATAAATGCCATATCATTTTCTTTTTGTTTAAAAATAGCATCGCCTCATACTAATATGACATTACTATTTATTAAAAATAATATTAGATGAAAAAAATTAAGAAAACATAAAATCCGGTTGATTTAGCAGTTTTCCTTTTCTTTTACTTTACGTGTACACTTTACAAGAGCAAAAAAATTCTTTTGTGACGTCAATTCATTTATGCGAAGGTAAATTTTTTCTACTTTAGAATATGTTCTATACTATAGAAATTATTTTGAATTTATTTGATTCGTTATTAATATTTGATTAAAAATTCAATTTGTAATAAATTTATTAATACGTCCGTCATTACAGATAAATAATAGAAGAATAAAATAATATATTCGACAAATTTTGAATACTCACTGCTTTTAAGGAATATTTATAAGTTTTTAAAAACTATTGATTCATTTATACAAATGAATGATTTTAATCATGCACATACTCAATGGATGACAGTCAAATAGATCTTTATTTTATACACAATTTTTCAAGATTTATTTATTTAAAAAATTATACTATATTGTAAGGGTATTAAATAGAATTAAAAACTTATTAATTTAAAAAAATGTGCAAATCTTAAATAACATGGGTTAAATGATTTGTTTCTTACAATTGATAACTTAAAAATGAGCTTCTATTTATTTTGAAATTTTCATTTATATTCGAGTTAGAAAAATTATTAATAGAAGTGTTCGAGAAAAATATACTACTTTATCGTATATAATTTATATTATTTTATATTCAGAAAATAAGCATAGCGATTGTAGTCGTATAGAATTTGGTATAAAGTAGTTTATAAATTCCTTGAAATTTTTAATTTTCAAAACTTGTAACGTAAATTGAATTATAAATTCTATTTCAAGCGACGATTAGAATTTTTATTAAAAACAAAGATAATAAACTTTTTTGCTTGCATTTTTTCAAAGATGATTTGCTTTTACAATTTTGATTTTAGAAGATCATTTAAGGCTAATTTTGAAATGGAAATGCTCGACAAACTACAAAAATTAATTGACTTTCTATATTTTAATTTTTTATAATATTTAGAATTTAAGTTTGTAAATTGTAATATTCATTTAAATTCTGCACATATACATACTTTTCGATAAATAAATCATTAAATCAATTCGAAAATATATAAATTCGAAAATGAATAAGAAATTATTCATGCATAAATTATGTATATATGAGTTTGTATGAGTTCAAATTATTGTTAAATTTTATTCATTAATAAATTATTTATTTTTACATTTTACCAATAATGATGGTTATATTCATAATCAATAGAGTTAAAGACGATTTAAGCGTTATTTAATATTATGCATTTATCAATGTAGGTCAAAATTTAGGTCATTTTAATGTGCAAAATGTTTATAATAATATTTCAAGTGTTTGTAAGGATTTTTTCGGATATCCCATGCTGATTCTAAGTTATTCATGTATGTCTGACGCCAGGGAATAAAGTGCGGCTATATGCGCCATGTTTATCACGTAATGGATGATACTTTACTATAAATATTTTCTTCAAATTTCAAAGAAAATCGAGCAATAAAATGCAATGACGCACCAAGTATTATTGCTATTTCGGGTCGATTATCTCTGCAGGTCAAGATGCACAACGATGTTGCTTGAACTTTCCCAGACACTACGTCAAACGTTAATTTATTAAAAGTTTATGTGCGTGAGCAATTATCAAAATCCATTTATTATTTCTGATGTCCCTGTTAAATAATAAATTGATTGACATAATTACTTCAAATTTGTAGCAACGTTTCTACATACATAAGAGGGAGAAAAGAGAGAGAGAGAGAGAGAGAGAGAGAGAGAGAGAGAGAGAGCGAGATTAATGAATAGTATTAGTTTAAATATAATTTGCAGATGTTAACTACACTATTACAATGTTTTACCGACCGATTACTATGAGTTGCTTAAAATTCAATTCCGTTGTACATAGTTCTACAAAAAAGAGTTTCTAGTAGACTAATAGATTAAAGAAAAACATTTTATTTCATATTATATTTATATAAATACTTGAAAGAAACGCTGAATTGAATGATAATTATTATGATAGTTTAATTTTTATGTATCATTTTAATGAGAGTTTTCCAAAATACGAACATCAATTTGATTTTTACACTATAAAATTATCTCCCTAATTGCATGTTGTCTAGGTATTATTCTTATAAATTTGAATTTTTATATTATTTCAGTTATCTTTTTTGTATGAATTATTATTTCATAAGCATAATTCTTTCTACATTTTATGTTTCACTAATTAAAGGTATCCGTAAAAAATCGTTATAATAAAATGTTTTAAAGATGTATTTGAACTATCTGCTCATGGAAAATATGAGCGCCTGTGTCAAGCAACCGGATATTCACATGAATCGAAAGGTAAATCATTTAATAGGCTTTTTAACTTTTCGTTGAAAACGATAGAGAAATTATTATAATTGTTTAATACATTACAATTATAAATTATTTTATTAGTTTTTATACGGTATTTAAACATAAAAGTTAGTATAAATGTTAGAAGAATAATGTGACAACAAAATATTTAATTAATATATTTTGAACGTATCTAATCGAAACGGACAATAAAATTATAAATGCCATTCAATAATAAATTAATTATTATGATTATAATTATATTATATCTTATATTATTAAGCAGATAACATAGTCTTTGACATTTAATGAGATTTATTTTTATTTTTTTCAGATGAATACGAAATATTCCTTACTGGTAACAAACATGTTCTATGATAAGTTGATTTCTAATTTCACTTTCTTTACAAGCTTTTTGCAACACGCTTACTGTTTATCATTTGTTCTATTTTTAATGTTATTGTTATTAAAATTGATAAAATTGTGGTTTGATATTTCTTACATATTTATTATTGGTTTGGGTTTAATAATAATTTTTGACAAATTGGTAATTTGATTAAGTAATTTTTATAATTAATGGCAGTTAATGAATTCATTTAGTAGAATATAATCAATCAAACTATTTTAAAAGCAACTTCCAACGAAACAATGATTATTTTGGTTTTCTTTCAGCCGAATAAAGAGTATTGTTGGCCGATAATAAACACCTTCAATGATAAGTTTTTTAATAACATATTTAATAAATTCTTTTGCCATAAATTAATTATTAATTGTTTGCTTTACTCGTACTTTAATATTAGATTATACCATTTGCTATTAAACTGTGATTATTTCGGCATATTTTAATTTATATTTATTTAATGCAACTATCTAAAAGACTAAATTTAGTAATTTCTGTGATTTCAGCAAAAACAAACGAATATTTATATTCATATTGATATACATGCTTTTTATTTTTTTTTTAACATATCATTAAAAATATCAAGTCCCATTAATTGATATAAGTTTTACTGTAATTAGTATTTCATATTTCAGCTTAAAATTCTTTCGTAAAGCATTATGACAACAAATTAATAAACGAGTAATCAATTTTTCTTATAATTTAATGCGAGCTTGTAACTCATTTATTATGAATTTTTACTCTGTAAATTGATTTATCTGTTTAATTTTTTTCGTCATATCTTTAATTACTTTTTACCTTTCAATTTTTTTCGTATTTACTAATATTTAATGTCAAAATAAGCTTTACTTTATGCAGATTTTTTTAAACCAAAAGAAAAACGCTTTGTATCTTAAAATCAGATCTGCGATCTGATATGTTGATTCTTTTTTGTATCAAAACGTTTGGAGTTTATGGTAATACTATACTTGGTTGCGTTTTCTTTCTTCAAAATCACAATTCGTTATTGTACAATGGACTCTTAAAGTTGAGTAGTTGCGACATTAATCCAAAATCGCTCCTTTTCAGAGTGGTACATGTGGAGGTGTTACCAACCCTTTGGCTGTTTTTACATAGGATCTCCATGGTCCGGTGGTAGTCGACCCGTATCGACGTTTCCCGTTCGACCCGACAGTATTAATCCACATTTTATGCTCTACACTCGTCAGCGTATCGACGATCCACATCAACTGATCATCGATGATCTCAGTACCATAAGAAATTCACCTCTCAGGAAACGCGAGAATTTATACTTTATCATCCATGGCTACTTGGATAACGGAAATAAGACTTGGGTTCTGGTGAGTTACAACATTTCCTTACCGAGCCTGCTTATATTTATAATATCGCATAGTGATAATTTAGCAATGGATTGCGGGATTATAACGAGAAATCAAAAATATCAGAAAAAATTGTCACTCTGTCCGAGCACTTGCACTTGAATCAGTCGATAATGTCAGTGGCATCGACAGTTTAGAAAATAAGCATTGAATTTATCAATACTTTATATAACGTCCAGTGATTAAGGTCAGATTTTCCAGTTAAAAATGAATATTTTTTTGCTAATACTTAGCCGAAACAACTGCAACGTGTAGCTTAAGCTTGATTTGAATTTTGCGAGCTAATAATTCCTTGAGATTTATGATGGTCAGTACCGTTAACTATTGCCATTATTTCGCAGTAAGCGGCGACTTTGGTACGAGGGTCGTTTTAACGTTCGATTTCATTTTTACGAATAGCAAATTTCTATAACAAACTAATAAAAAGGCCCACGCACAACTTTCCAGAGAATGATGCGGGAGTTGCTACAGCACGAGGACGCCAACGTCATTGTGGTGAATTGGATCGGCGGGGCTGGACCTCCTTATACCCAGGCGGTGGCGAATACGAGGCTCGTCGGGGCAATGACGGGCAGATTGGCCTCTCAATTAATCCAGAGAGGAAATATACTGCCAACCCGATTACACTGCATCGGGCATAGTTTAGGCGCACACACCTGTGGCTACATCGGATATAATCTGCGTGTGCAGTATGGCTACAAGCTCAGCAGGATATCGGGTATCCTTTATTTATATTAATATATGAAATTTTGAGATGTAGAAGAAGCTGATCGATTCGCGCGAATTATGTATTATATTCATATTTGTTAGTAATTTTTTATAACGATCAATCAAATTATAATTCGGGTAAATCGACTGTTTTGATAAATCGAGTACGGGATATATTTCTATTGATTGGGTTGATATTTACTTGAGGTAGATGGAATTTTATAAATTATAATCATATTGGATGATTAATTTTTAATTTATTAGTAATAATTTTATCATTTACTAAAAGGACTTCAATTCATTTTTCTTCTTGGTTATTTGCCGCTATGGCAGCTCCTACTCCTGTATCATCTTCGGTGCATTCTTCTACTGTAGTTATTGCATTTATCTATTAATTCGCTGTCTTTATTTAATGGAAAACAATAATTATTTATTGGAATATATTAAAGTTAGAGTATTGATTATAATTAAATTTTATAGGCATTTCAGCTGTTTTAGAATATGATTTAAGAAAAATTATTACTTTTATACACATCATCTCAATATATTTGCGATAGAACAATATGATTTATTATTTTTTCATTTAATTGTTCATGCGATTTTTAAATCTATAATATTTATATGTTCCGGGATGATTGTTTGTATAACAGGAGATAAATAAGATATTCGAATAATAGGGAATGGAAATAAGATAATAATGCCTTTAGCATCAACAATTTAATGGCTTTAAGATTTTCTTTGTGTGGAGTATCTTTTTTTTCCGAATATTAATCTAAAGATAAAATTTCAGACAGATTTTATTAGCGTTACATACAACTTACGATGCCCATATCCTAAACGCGATTTTCCGCATTAAATTTAAAAGTACAAAATATTAAAAAAATATAATTAGTAAATTGCTATATTCTCAAGTTAAATCGAATTATTTCGTCTCCTCTCTATTATTTATTTGGCTATTGGTTTGGAACGCGTCAAGTGTTGAAAACTTTAAATCTGCAAGTTTAATTTATATCTTAATCGTGAATCTAAGGAAATATCACTTGTTATCAACTCGTTTCTCCATTCAAATCTTTAATTATTTTCGAATCTGAAAGCGAATAAAGACACACGTTAATTTTATATTTTCTTTCATTTATTTGAATCTATGATTTTGCATCTGATATTTAATAAATTTTCTATAAAAATTTTATCTAAATTATTCTTTTATAATAATTCGCAGTTGCAATGGCAATTTCCAATGTGTCGCTTAATTTAGCGTTCGGTATAAATAAAATGATAGATATATTAGATTTTAATATTTGCCTAATTGGTCTAAATTCATTAACCGCAAAAAGCTATTATTATAGCATGAGTGATAATAAATAAAGACATTCAGTTTCCTAAATAACGTCGCGAGTCAACCGAATGTTGAAAATATAGCGTTTAAAGAGCAATTAAAAATTTATTTTAATATTCACTTATCTTTTATTAAAAGAAAAATCAAACGATTGAAGTTTTTGCGTAGAGTATTAGTTTATAATCGCCGATAAAGTCTTTCCTTTATCTGTAAATTGTTACAAACACATTGTATATATATATATATATATATGTATATATAATTGATAATCAAAATATAATTACGTAATATTATAATAAGTGAATGTTAATACGTATGATCCGTGTGCGTGGCTACGAGGCTCAGATTGTGGCCTCAAATACTTTCTTAATTCTTATCGATTATTAAATAAACGTAACGATAAATTAATCTTCTTTTGCGGCTATTTTGATCAGATTGCAAATATAACCTTTGGTATTTAGCCTCTGTACGCTCCTTGCTAATATGAGCAGAAATTTGTGTTACTTCCACCATTAATTCAAGATCTTTTGACATAAATTTGAAAATTATCCTCGCCAGCGAACTCAAACGATTGACGTAATCGACAATTGATGTTATCGATAAACAAATATTATAACGATAAAATACTTTAGAAAACATGTATCACAATTATCGACGAGTTTATTATTTTACGAACGAGTGATTTTTACATCTAAGAAAATGGGAAAATATTTATGATTTGGATTTCACAAGGCTCGGCAAAATAAATCCAGAGTCTGCGAGTCGATAAATCCTCGTGTGTCGCTGTAATATGCGCACGAGTAAACACAATCAAGAATCCAATTAATCGCCTAGTACGGCCATCTCATCGAAGCCGTAATACTCAACGCTTCGGTCGAAGTGGACGCGGTGAATTAAGAAAATTCCAACGCAAAATCCAGCTTCTCTTTAGATCGGTAGTGCTATAATAATCTGCACTTTACAACCAACCATCGACATTCCAATTTCATACTCCGCGCTTGCAAAATTATCATCGCATGCTAGATGTCTAACGGCCCGTCTATTCGATGCGGTAAAAAAAGTTAACAAATCGAGGCACCGCGGCAAATGACGTTACTCAATTCTGGCGGCGACAACGTTCGATCGAATTCGCGAGGCTCGATTGTAGCTCGGCCGCGCCGTGATTCAGTTGTCCATTTTCGCGAGACACCGGAAACGCACGAATATGCGCGTAGACGGACGAGCGGGAGGCGATCGATCAAGGTATTACGCTCGCGAGGAGTTGGCAGCGCGAATCGTCACGATTAGGAAAATAAGTAACCGAAAGCCAGGAAACGACGGAGTAAAAATGTGGACAATCGTTCGAAGGATACTTTGAATTCTTAGCGTCCGAGTCATGATCGTCGTCGTCGTCGTCGTCGTCGTCGTCGTCGTCGTCGTCGTCGTCGTCGTCGTCGTCGTCGTCGTCGTCGTCGTCGTCGTCGTCGTCGTCGTCGTCGTCGTCGTCGTCGTCGTCGTCGTCGTCGTCGTCGTCGTCGTCGTCGTCGTCGTCGTCGTCGTCGTCGTCGTCGTCGTCGTCGTCGTCGTCGTCGTCGTCGTCGTCGTCGTCGTCGTCGTCGTCGTCGTCGTCGTCGTCGTCGTCGTCGTCGTCGTCGTCGTCGTCGTCGTCGTCGTCGTCGTCGTCGTCGTCGTCGTCGTCGTCGTCGTCGTCGTCGTCGTCGTCGTCGTCGTCGTCGTCGTCGTCGTCGTCGTCGTCGTCGTCGTCGTCGTCGTCGTCGTCGTCGTCGTCGTCGTCGTCGTCGTCGTCGTCGTCGTCGTCGTCGTCGTCGTCGTCGTCGTCGTCGTCGTCGTCGTCGTCGTCGTCGTCGTCGTCGTCGTCGTCGTCGTCGTCGTCGTCGTCGTCGTCGTCGTCGTCGTCGTCGTCGTCGTCGTCGTCGTTGTCGTTGTCGTTGCCATCGTGCATCCCCCGCTTCGATTTAGCCTCCGAGCCCGACCATTACCCACCTGATCTTCACTTCTCTTTCCCCTCGCCCACCTACCTCCTTCCTCTTCCCTTCTTCGTCAATTAGGCTGGAGAAGCACATCGAAATCGCGGCGAGAGGTGAGCGGCCGGACTTTGCAAGGCCGAAGAGCGAGAGAGAGAGCCACGAGGCCACGTATCATTGGGTTCGTGAGACGGGAGAGAGGAGGTAAACGACGATGCAAACGGGCTGGCCTTCCGGAAACTCGTTCCCATCTATATTCCCCGAAGCTCCCACCCGTGTGTTACGATGGGTGGACTCTAGTTGTTGGCCGACGAGGGCCAATGGGGGGTTGGGGTGGGGGCGGTGGTGGTTGAGAATTGGTATGGCGGTTAGGGAACGGGGCAGGGAGGTGGTGGCGGCGGTGACGGCGGCGATGGTGATCGGTGGCTAATCAATGGGTTCGATTGGCGTAGGAGAGCGGCGGAGCGCGCGAGTCGTTACGTAAGCTATCGATCTCATCGGGAACTACCAGGGCAGCAGAGGAAACGAGGGTGTAGCGGCGGCGCTCGGATATGCGGCGCTCGGTGCCCCTTGACGAGGCTTGAGCCGAGCCCCTACGCGGCAGCAGAGCCCAAGTCCGGCCGGCCTTTTAGACAAACCCGAAGACAGAAGCGAAGTAAACAGCGGTAGTAAGAGAGCACAAGGAGAGAAGAAGTGGCAGGACCAAACCTCTCGGGAGGCTCAAAATTCCGAGGGATGTGGCGGCGCTATCGATTGCTCCAGGGTTTTGGCGCGTGGGACATTACACGTTCCCGTGTCCTGTTGTCGTTACGTAGGATGGCCTACCAACGAATGGACGACCTGAAGTGGCGCGGCGGGCGTAGCTTGAAAGTCGAGAGTCGTAGGATTGTCGTTGGGAGTGAGAAATTGCCGACGTTTGTTAAGTGATTTTATTGTATGGATGAGAGAATATCGGGTAAATGGGACGTAATATTTGCGAATGACGTAGAGATTCTTGATGCGTGTGTAGTGTCGTGGGACTGAGAGCGAACGGGACACGACGACTAGACACTTCCTTTTCTTTTCTTTCTTTCGCGTTTCTCAAAATAAAATGCAAATTCATATATCTTTTAATGGGTTAATTATTTATGAAATATCATGCTCTTGAAATTTAGAACTTTCATTGATTTGACAAATTCTATTGTTCTCATTACATTGTCGAGGCAAATACATTTTATGTATTACTTTTATATATTAGGTTTTTAAAATGTCTAGTACTTTATGGTTTTTCTTTAAATGTAGTTTGATACATAACGCTTATTAAATAATTATTAGATTATTTAGATCATCGTTAATACGATTTATATAATTTTAAGGTTTGCTTTTGTAATAATAGCTTATCTTTACAATATACCTGTCGACCTGGTAATTTATATTAGTAGACCACCTATTATTCCCCAATTCTTAATTTACTATATTATAATGCATTAAATGTATTAAATATGAAATTAGACAAGTATCTGTATTAATAAGGATAAATAATTTCTTATTATATTTATAATCGTAATACTTTGAAATCATTATAATTTCATGTAACGTTGGGTGTAGAAAATCTCCTTATTATCGAATAATTGAAACATAAAACTGCATCGACCCTTAATTTTATTATATCGTACAAGATATTTTGTAGTTTGTCAGTATTTTCATGTTACATAATAAACGAATTACCATATTTAAATTAAAATTTTTTGATGTTTGAATAATAAGGAGGTGCGAAAACTTTAACATACGTGGGCACATTCCCATTACATTTCAATCTCATTCTTCCTATTTTTTCATAAATTTTAGGAATAATAGATATAAAGAATTAAATGAAACAAATCTATTTCTACAATTAAATAATCAATAAATTTATTAGCTGTGCGTGAAGATAAAACATTATTATATTTTTTTAACATACGCCAATGAGATTAATCATTATATAAAACGACTTATTATTCCGAGTGATAAATTTTATGATTTTTAAATCTCGCAAATATTTGAAAAATAGGTATTTCATTTTAGTAAATTAATATAATCAATTATAGTAAGTCTCAAATTATTATAAATTACGTAATTATTTTAAGACCCCAAGTCGTTGATGGTTTTGTACAATCTAATAATAACCAAGCTGATAGTATAAGTAAGCAATGCTTTATAATTTCTCGAACGCATTATTTTAATTAACAATAAATACTATAGGTATTACCGATATTATTTTTGAAAGTATTTTAAACAAAAGAGTGTCTAATGCTTGGGACAATTATTTATATGTTGTTCGATAAAATTAAATTTGTTGAATTTGTAATTTAAAATTATAAAGAATAAAAAAAAATGTAGTAGTGAATGATGATTTTTTATTGGTTTAAATGCCACTTTCTTTTTTTTTTTTTTAGATCTTATTTAATCATTACGTAAACTGCCATTGCAATTAAAAAAAATTTTAATATAAATTTATAGCTTTCAGTTTCAAATAAGACTTTTAAGGAAAATTAAAAATCATAAACTTTATATTTACCATTAAGAAATATTTATTTGTAGGTGATATTACTGACCGAAATCTCCGATCATATGTTGAAATTTTTTTAAATATAAAAATATAATATTTAATGATTTTTTTTTTTAGTTATTTACACCAACTGCAAAATGTTCATTTTATTTTATATTATATAAACAGTGATTTACAGTAAACACTTATTAATTAAATTTTTTCTCTTTTTTAATATACATTTACGCGAAGAATTTCATGAGTGAATTATGTATGAATTGGAAAAATTGTATATACTTTATATAAATTAGACAGTATGTAAGACAAATCTATTTTTATTATACTTATAAAATGCTAATACGCGATGTAAGTTTTTATTGGGCTAATTATTGCTATAAAATAAATTGAAATTTATTGTCCGTAAAATTTACTAATAAAACTTTTACAATCATTCAGAACATTTTTCGGACAAATAGCATAGATTTTTAGGTAGGAGTTGCAAGTATTTACATTTGGAATCAGTCGAGCATCTTTCATTTATCGAAAGTGTAACAAAATAAATTGGCTGAAATTTGATGATTATTGTTTATTTTGTTTACAACCAGTCAAGAATAGTGGTTAGTATTTTATACTAATTAAACATGTTAGTAAATTTGTATAGAATATGGTCTTCATTAAAAGATGACAAGTATTTATAACGAAATATTCGTATAATTGTTACTATTGTTTTTGTTTTTGTTTTTAATATTACTAAACTATCGCACTTTTTATATGATATATTTTTTTAAAAGATTAAATAAAAGATTAAATAATGAAATTATTAAATCTTATAATATTCATTATAAATGCATGACAATAACTCAGATGAAAGTGAATTGTATTTACTTACAATTAAGAGATATTTTTGCAAATTACATAAGATTGAATTTAAAAATTCAAATAACACGCATTCCATATTATATTATCCCAACTGTTTGCTACTCTTCTTACTTAACGAAGATCTGCAACGTTGCAATTGTATGTAATTCGATGGTTTTTTTTTCATATCGATAGACGAATCGATTAGTATGGTTATTATATTAAAATGTTAATTTAAAGTCGTTACACCTTCATTTGCCGTATAGTCAATCGATGGTGAGACAACGCAAAGAGACGTTTTCCCAAATATGCAATATCTAGCTACCAAAAATTGAGCAAACGACTGTCAATCGCAGGTCTCGATCCAGCCGAACCACATTTTAGCAACACCTCCCCGATGGTGCGCTTGGATCCCACGGATGCGGACTTTGTCACTGCCATACACACCGACTGCAGTCCATTCATCAGTGGCGGACTCGGGATTAGTCAACCCGTGGCTCATATAGATTTCTACCCCAACGGCGGAAGAAATCAGCCGGGATGCAACGAAGGTGTCTTCAATTCTATAACGCTGGAGAAGGGCAGTTTATTTCGAGGCAAGATATTTAAGCGAAACGAATTTTCTGAAAATATTTTGAAGATTATATGAGTTTAATGTAGTCTTTAGTTTGGTAGGTGATTGGTGAGATATTGGCGGTTGATAATCATTAGCGTTTGTTGGGTATAGCGCTAAATACTACATTGCATATAAATATTATATTAATCGCATACGATGTATGCGATATTATTTGTTTAATAGGAGAGAAAACAATTATTTATGTTATATATATATATATATATATATATATATATATATTAACCGTATGAACTACCTCGGTTTTGTAAAGCTTTTTCAGCTTATTACGTACTTTTTAATTTAACAATAGTGTCGTTACATAGATACAACAATAGTGTGACATTTACATACAGTGAAAATGTCTGTATTAAAACATCTGTATGGGAAAGAAAAGCTTCTCTATTATAATTAACATAATTATGTTGAGATTGACACTATTGTCCGCGGAGGTGGAGTGGATCGATGGATCCGTAGTAACGAAATAATACCTTCTAGGAATAAAACGATTTCTTGGATGTAATCACATAAGAAGTTATGAATACTTCATAGAAAGTATAAACACGGCGTGTCCGTTCCTGTCGGTGCCGTGCACCTCGTGGGAGAAATTTCAAAACGGTAGCTGCTTCGATTGCGTCGAGCAACATTGTCCCAGATTTGGATTCAATGCCCAGCCAGGAAATTATCACGCTTCAACGTATCTGATGACTGGAAGGGAAAAGTCATTCTGCAGTGAGTCCATTTTATAAACTGTCATACTTCATAATTATTCTCCGATCCATCGTTTCTTCATGTATTGTAGCAGGTTTTTTGTGTTTTCAGTTGAAGCGTTCGGTAACGTGCGAATTCGTACGGCAATCGCATAAAAACGTTTTGAAACTAATGATTAAGCATCGAGTTTATTAGAGGCTTAATTGTTATATGCTATATGTCAAATCGACAATTATTTCAAAGAGAAGATTATTTAATCGGTGAAAATGATTAGTTCGTTATTTTTCGTAACGAATTAAAGCGCGATAAAACGACATTAATAAATTTATGATTATTTTCTTGTCTCAATGGCTTTCTTAGATCGTTAAATTATCGATCGCAATAATTATTAATATCATTTCATATTAAGCGCGAATGTTGCAAAATTTATTGGATATTATTTCACTTAGCGCTCGTTACTTTCCAAATTATAACATTACAAAAAGTACGTTGGGTTAATTTTCAAGTTAGTCTTTTGTTAGTACGTTAAATTTATGTAATTGTCGAATGTATAAGGGTAGATGCTATTTTAAAATTTTCATTTAACGACTATTTTTAAACTATCATAAATTACTTAATGCATTACCATTAGCAATGAATTAATCACTTGTAGCTGGAATAATAGTTATTTTTAATAATAAATATTAACGTAAAGCATTTGAGTATGGACATCACGATTCTGTAATTTATGGTTAATAATTGTATTGAATTCTTGTATCTTATACGACCTATCTAAGAATCGTATTCTTTTATTAGTGAAAGGCTATTAATTTAATAATAGTCTCATTAATAACATTCTCAATGAAATTATATATAAATAGTGGTTAGGAAAATTTTTTGGAAAAAAGCACATTCCCTCGTTTCATCTCACGTTTTTATCAATTCTTGAGCTTTTCTCTTGATACTTCATGCACTTCCTTTCCATCCCCGTACCAATGCTCAATACACTCCAATAGCTACGCTTAAAAATTCCTTATTGCACGCTTTACGCAATCACATACGTATAAGCGGTTTCCGTTGTATCAAAGTGCGCTAGATGTTCTCCATGAACCCTGAACTCATGACTTTATCAAAATGATTTAATGCTTCTTCCGTGGACGTATATACTCATTGTTTGTTCTGGTGTGTTTGGGCAGAGGCTCATTATCGCGTGACGATTATCATCTCGAAGACGAACGAGAGTCTGAGCTACGGTGGCGAGGTCGGGATGTTCGTAATACGTGTGATTGGGCCCAATGGTAAAACAACCGAGCGGATGTCACTCAGCGAGCATTCGAAGTACTACGAGCCCGGAACCAAGCATACCGTCGTTATACCCGGCGACGTAGTCGGCAAAGTTGAGGCCGTCGAGATCACCTGGGATTATCAAACTTCCATGTTCAACCCGCTCACGTGGAGGCTGCTCCATAAGCCGAAGGCTTACATCGACTCGCTCACAATCAAGAGCCTCGAGTTCCATAACGAGTGAGCATTGGTGATCGTTTGATAAATATTCGTCTTAATTTGAAATGAATTACTCGATGCACGAAATGGAGGCTTTTTTTTTTATTCTATAATTTAGCGATGATTAATGATCGGATTCAGTATACAACACGATGGCGTGTTTTGCTCGTAAAATCTAGCGCGATGATACGCTATGATTATTGGTAAAAGTACGCGAGAGCTTTTATTTTATTGCAGTTTGTTGATTATAATACTCTTCGTGCAATCATTACGGGAAGCCATTAGGATTTTGAGCAATTTCAAAACTATAGTCTCGATTACATTAGATTACGCGTGCAATCGACGTATTATGAATATGCAAAATCTTATAAATTTTATTTATAAAATTTGTTTGTAATGCGGCTGACCAATGTATTCATAGTGCAGAAGTAAGTGAAAGAATACAAAGTATTTTTTATAAAATTCATTACCCGTTTATAATTTATTTGCATAATTGCACATTGAGCTTTTAAAAAATAAAAATATTAGAAGTAGCTTTTTTATGAGATTTTGAATATTCATTGTCAAAATGACGTATTACTTTTCTAAGTAGAACATTATTATGAGACGATAGTAGCTCGATAGTATCTTTGCACAAGGCTGTCCAAATTTCTAAAATTTCTAAATAACGGATTAGAATAGATTGATTTAAACTCACAAGAATTTCAATACTTTTATACAGTTTTAATAAAATTTTAATAGATTTTAATTACCTTAGGAATTTATTATTTTATGAATCTAATAAGTTTATTTGAGACAAGGCTTAATTCATTGTCATCTAAATACGTAGTTTTTGAATGGCCGAACCTCGCAATTTCTTACTTTCTATCAAAATGTGGATATGCTACGTTAGCTTAAACAATAGTAAATAAGATAATTGCGCAACGCATTGAATATTATAGGCTACATTGAATATTTTTGTTCGGACTATCTCACGTACGAAGTCACTTTCTTTCGTTAAGCCATAATCTCAAATTGTAGTCATCAAAGGTATTATCGATAAATCGAATTATTAGCATCAATTTATTAGTTTCGATTACGTTGTAAGATGACTTGATCGCGATTTTTATCTTACGTTTTTCGACGCACAGGAACCATCACGAGGTCATATTCAATATTTTGTATTCAACGATTCATTTATATTCAACGATCGTTATATTGCTAAAATATGTAAATATCTATCATAAAATTATGATAAGAATTTGTAAATGATAAGTGTGCTTATGTGTTTGTAAAGAACTGTGTCATTTGTTGTGCCACCACTTACAACAGATGCTTCATTAAAAGAAATATATTAAGTGAAAAATGAATAAACATGTTGAAGCTTTGGACTCAAGCCTTGGGTTGTATAGTCCTGCGCGAGATTTTCGGGTTTGATATCCCTCCATGCATTTTTATACCGTTTTTAACCGTACGCAGTGGCTTACGTGCTTTGTTTACCAATCTGCTGAAAGCTCTCGAGCACGCGCTATCTTACACTATTATATTAAGCATGATGTCGGTGTTCGGTAACTTTAATGAAAAATAATGAAAAGTAAAAATACCGAAGAAAGAGGCCTCGTTAATGAGCACTAAACATACGACAAACGAACTCAGGCTCCGTTCGGCTGCATTTCAGGATCACCGTCTGCCCGGCGAACACAAAGACACTGGTGGCGAATGAGCCACAGATGCTGAAAGAGGAGAACTGCCAGTATAGCGAGCTGAATTTCGTTGCGACGTGAGCTTATCGAGCGAGGGGAGAAGAGTGACATCACTGAAGAGGATAATCGCTGGATCGCCGTGCGACAATTCGACCAGGAAAAAGAAAAGACCGCGGGGGAGCTTCCGCCGGCGGCTTCGGCACACAATTTATTTGCACTCGATGTCTCGACGACCTTGGAACGGAGCGCCGAGATATAAGTTAAAATAATGCCGTGTCAGCCCTTAGCATACTACGCTTAATTATAGACGAGCTCTATAGTGATCGACAAGGATTTCGCAATCGGTGCTCCGAGGCACGATAGATGAGCGAATCTCTGAGAAATATTGAATCGCGAGGTAAGCGGGAAAATCGGGGAATTCGCCGACTGGGAGAACCTTAACGTTTAAAAGTCTGCCTTACGCTACACTGCAATATTAACCAAAGTATAGAATTTTTATGGTAGAAATATTTATTATTAAGGTATAGATCATGTAACTTTCACCCGTAGCGACCGAAATGGATAGTATTACTGTGAATCTGCTTTCTATTTCGTAACCGGTAACGAGGCGTAAATCCTAAGAAAAGTAAACGCCAACCCACGTCAAGTAGTTTTATAGTATTGTGTAAAATGAAACGTCACTAAAAATCGAAGCAGCCCATATCGATCATACATCATAATTATAATGCTTACGCTCCTCTTTATATCGCGACGTTAAAGAGAAATTAAATGGTCATTAGCATGTTATGGGATTCACGCTTGCACTCACTTTCTTCACTTTAATCAATAAACAATGTATGACAACGTATGGCCTTACGCACATCGTAAACGTCGTAGTAAAGAACTCTCGGAGTGTCGTATATTTGTCCACGCCCATTCTCGTTTTCTTAAAAAGTATAAATTACAAGGTAACTAAGAGCTACGGTCGATAACGCTTGTTTGCACTTTAGGTGAGTATATTGCGCACGTAGCGACTAAGAGTAACACCGAGACCTGATAAAAGCATTTGACGAATCTACAAGATTCTTAGGTCAAGATTAAGCCATCGAAAGCCCAGGCGATGGACTTTGTAACTTTAAGACCGGCGTGCTCATCGCCACGTTCAAGCTGCCACTATTAATAAGGCGGAAAGAGGCGTGTTATGTTTGGAAAAGTGCGCGAGCACGTGCTGGCACATATAAAGAGTTGGCGTGTCCTTTCACTGTGACACGTCCCCGCGGTTCGCGCGGTTCCTCTTCCCCTTTCACCTGGCCACTTACTTACTTTCATGCCCGCGCTCAGCAAAAAATCATCGCCATTGCCGACGTGCACTTTACGATACAAACCCGCGCGGCTAACACACCGATAATCAAGAGGCGCTCGCGAGTCTTCCAAAGAATTATTTACTTGCTGTAATGCATCGCATCCACTGTTGTCGCCAATTTTTTTCTTCATTATTTTTATGCGGTAAGCAATCATGGTTAGTTAACGTTCTAAGTTGGGTGTCGAGACGGTAATTGCCATTGGAAACGGCTGACGTGGGATAAATGTAGTTCTTAAATTAATTAACATTAGACGAATGAATTGGGTGATTGATTGTTGTGTCGCGATTTATAATTTATGATTTATAGAGAAGCAACGAATGGCCGCTACTCTTGATTATTCGTTAACTCTACGCAGGACATACGTTTACGATTACATTTACATGGGAATTATTTTTAAAGAGCTTACAAAAGCATCTATAATGTCGAGTACAAGCCATTCGAATGAGAAATATATCAACTAATGTGGAAATAAGTGAATTAAGCTGACTTACGCTGCTTAATGCAAACATTAATGATGTTTGAAAAAAAATTTTCATCCCGCTGCATCCTTCAGCAAAATCATTCGTACATGTGTGTAATTTTTTTCATTCTTTTTTCTTTTTGACATCAATGATACTATATTCCAATTTTATATTTCAAATTTTTATTTTATACTCGATTGATTACTACACACATACTACATTTTACGTTCAGACGTTTAATTGCATTAACATCAGTAAGCCCAGGCCTAGCTAATAGTGTTTATAAACATAATTATAAAAAAAAAGAAGAAAAAAAAATTAACCATAAATATAGGGAATATTTCTAAAATATTATAGACTTATACAATAAAATTTCAATGTAATATTAGCCTTTTTCTTTTTGAAAATAATTAAAAATATTTATTATACTTTCATCAAAACTAGGATAAGAAAAACTTCATAAAATTAATTAAATCATAATAATCAAATGCTTGATTTATTTTCATACAAATGTGTCAAAATTTTGCTAGGAATTGTATCGACAATCTTGATTCTCACTGTCCGCATTGCAATTCTTCCTATATGTGTAATATTTATATAGATAGGATGTTTCTATTAAGTAAATGTGTTAAGAAAAATTTATTTACTAAATAAGTTCTTTTTTTAAACAAAATTAAATACTTATCAACAAAACTTAATATTAATGTATAATGATAGGAAACAATAAATCGTCAAGTATTTCAGATAATTTGATACTTGTGTATGCAGAAACTACGATATATAAACTCATCGAACAACAACGATAAAAATAACAACTATAATAACAACAATATGATAATATACAATTTGTACTGTCAACATATTAACAGATATTACTAATAATTTAATTTATCTGTACATGTAATTTATTTGTTTACATAATTTATATAAAAAATCCAATAAATAATAATTATCAACATTACAAATATTTTCTAATCATTTATACCTTATTCATTTATTTAACTTAATAAAATTGTATGTTGTGCTATCTTATTAGATTTTATAAATGTCAATAGAGTGTAGAATTTCTGTAAAGAAATGAAATTCTAATTAACTGATAATTTTACAAATTAACGATTATATTTCTTGAACTAGTTGGAATTTGAATTATAACTAAAAATTATTCAATGTATTTATCTTAAATTATATATATAATTATAAATACAATAAAATATAAATTTAAATAGCAATTTAATTAAGCAAATTAATGAATGATAAAATTTTATCCTATTAATTATGACTAATGATAATGATCTTATATTACACAATTTTAATTTTATGTATATAACGTACACGATTGTTTTTCCAAAACAATAATATTATTAAAACGATCTTTTAATAAATTTTTACCTCAATGTCATTGAGTAAGAACGTTAATAGCTTATTTGGAAACGTGGGCCTTAAATTCCAAGTTAACCTTTACGCAACACCTAAATTCATTAATAATATATTCTGAACTGTAAATTTTACTGTGTTCGAGGTTATTTTACGTTATGCAGTGAGAAATGCATGAAAATATTTCTTCAAATACCAATTGTTCGCAATACAAATGGATTTGCAAATTATTTTCAATTTTTTATTTTGGTGATTTGAATAGACTCGTTCATGAAATAAATAATTAATAAATCATGCAATAATGGCAAGAAATAATTAAATATGCATGGTTAATTAAATATATCAGTAACTTTTTAGAGAGACATTGGGATTTATATTGGTAATTGACAACGGTTTTCTGCCTTTCCCAACTGGTTGTTCACAGTTTGCTCGTAGCGACCAAAATTCACTAGCGTGTTCATAAGAAACAATTTCAGATAATCGCGACAAATTTCATTATTTCCATGATTATTATCTTGGAACATAAAAAGTTCACACATACACAGCCGAATACAATTTATCAAGGTCTTGGAAATGATATTAAAAGCCGAGGCAGCTTCAGCATGCAATATCATTACCTCGGAGCTGCCATCGCGTCTTCCTCCTGTGTATTTCATCTATTGACTATCGAGAAAAGCAAGTGACAGCAGCTGTCATTGCTTCATGACGCTAAGAAAAAAGGAAGATATGCTGGTGAAGCGAAGAAAACTATGCTCCATTAGACAATGCCCAGCTATTCCTAGTTTCGCAACATCGTTATTACCCGGAAAATTTACTCGCTCGCACACACTGACTCGACGAACTATGACAAACTCATGAACAATTATTAAGTTTGCTCCGACAAGTAACTAAGCTTGATTTACATTCTCGGCTCCTTTTTATTATTGTATTGATGTTCGAGTTTACGATAAAATATTTGCGTTTTTAATTCAAATTTAAAGTCGCCCGTTGGGTTGACTGAGAGTTATGAAAAATTATGAAAAAAAAAAAAAAAAAAACAGAATAAATTTAGAATTTCAATAATAAGATAATAAGATATTTTACGATTTTCAAGAGGATGGTGGTAAAAAATTTAGTAATATAAAGTATAATTAATTTCCAACTACTATCAAACAGCACATTATCTTTTTTGTCATTAATAATATATTAGGATGAGCAGTTAATTTTACTGGAGTGAATATTGCTGTTACTTCAATTACATATGCATGATAAATATATCATTAATTTTAATGCAACTTTAATTAAATGAAATTTAAAATTGCAAACATAGATTATTCCTCGCTAAATTAATTCTTTAATCATAAAAGTCGAAAAATTACATATCGTTCATAATTCATGAAAAATACAAAGATGAAAATAAAAAAAAAACCGTAGCTTATATGCATAAAGATTTTACACATAAATATATAATATATTAAATGGATATAAACCTATTTTATCGGTCACCGGTACCTTCATCGTTTTATTAGATTTAATTTAGATTCAGTTACTTTTATCATAAATAGCTACTACACTAGAAAAATATAATGTATAAATTAACGATTTTATTTATATCCAGTCCCTTACACAATAAAACTATAATGTTCATTTATTTAGATAAAATAAATGACATTTATTGGAAATGATTGAAGGTTTAATGCGAATTTCAATATAATTTCGTATAAAACATATATTAATAGTCAGTACTAGTAAAAACATTATATTATTATGTTAAGTGGAAAATTACTGTTGGTAATAAACCAAAAATTAACTTTCTAACCTTCGAGGACCCACGGATGTTGTTAAAATAGTCTTTTAACTACGTATATTCTAACAGTTATGAAAATATACGCGTAATACATGATAAAATATATGTAACTATTGTTATTGCCTGGCTCGTTCTCCCATTGCGGTGTTTTAAAATCAGACCGGAATTGTGCGTGAATCATTATAAATTATGATATAATCAATATAAATCAATATAAATTATTTGTTAAAATAATTCTTTATAACTATAATTACACGGGCGTGCGCATCTAAACCAAAATACAAGTACATATGTTTATTGAATTTCTGTAAACGTGTTTTGTATTGAAAAATATTGAAATTACGTTCGAATTTACGTAAGTAATTAGAATGAGAAAGATAATTTTCTTCATTTTTGTAATGACATGTATCTAGAATTAACAGACATATGTTAATTAATATTACTATATATATTCAAATAATTATGATAATTATAATCGAATTAGTTAGAATTAAATTAATATACCGACAGTCGATATTTTGTAAATAATTGTATGCCGTTATGCGTATGCATAATTAATGTAATTGTCAATGTAATTATATTATCATAAAAGTCACTTTAAAAATCAAAAGAAAATAATAATCTTTTAATATTAATATGTATCCAGACGTTTCAATTGTTTTCATTTTCTTTACGTAAACTTCCAATGAAATGGTAGTCATTTTGAATTTACATCTGTTGAAATAAAAAGTCGAAATATTTACTCAATCCACTTTAATTACCGTAGCAAAGTCTTTTAAGTGAGGAGCTTTCACGAGTTACGTATTAAATAGTTCATTTATTGTAATTGCTACTTGTTGAAACGGCAACAAGATATTTATTTCATCTTGTTGTGATAAAGGAAGCTCTATCTCGGAGTGTAGTGACTTCAGAGGGAGAGAGAGGGAGCTTAAGCACTTTGGAAAATATTAATCCACAAAAGTGAAAGAAAAGCTGAAAAGTACGCGAGACAAATAAGATTTTCCCCAGTCAATGATGAGCAATTTACGAACATTATGACATTATACAT